ATGAGAATAAATCATGAGTGCCCTGGTAGCAGCCCTGTGTGCTTTTGTTTATTGCAGGGACAGGCAGAGGAGCAGCTGCTGGGTGGATGTATAGAGAGGAGAGTTATTTACAAGGGTAGTGATTTTCAGTACAAAATTCTAAATGCGAAATAAATGAGTACCACAGTGAGGTAAGATTTCATTGCTCAGGGCTAGGCAGGGTGTTTTAGGGTAATGGTGATGCACATAAAACCAGCATCAGTTTTCCAGTTATGTGGATAGATTAGAAATATTTCAAGTGTGCTACAGTTAAAATCTTCTAAGACCTGAGTACATAGAGATGATCACATTGAGTTTGTGACCTTCATTGCCAAAAAGAAATGGTTAAAAAGGTAGAGGGAGGTTGAGAGACCTATTTTGCACATGAAACAATATCTGGTGGGTAGAAGTCCCAAGGCAAGATGACAGAAAGCTAAGCAAAAATCTGAGTTTATAGCTCCTAAGTTAGAAGTCAGGTTTGGTAGAGATGGCAGAAGAGGTGTGATAGTAAGCAGGTCTTACTTCTATGCTGAAGAAATTCTCTGTGAAAGTCACAAATGCTGTAAAGACTTTTCCCTCTTGTTAGTGTGCCCATTCTTTGGTCTACTGTTTCTAGTAAAATATTTCAGGCTATTGTGATAGTATAGATATGTTTTTGTTTGAATGTCGTTTAACATCTCAGAGCTCCTAAAGAAGTTATGTGATGTCAGTTAAGTTGCTGTAGTTTGCTCTGAAAAGTAATTTTGGTGAGGTTAGTGGAACCTACAGTGAAAAGAGATGTTGAAATCTCATAGGTTAAGAGTGTGCAATTGGACAGTTAGTACTAATCAGTTGATACGTTGTAACTACCTTGTCTCTCAACTTTGTAACTAATTTTCTAAGTAAAGATGTAATTTTAAAATACTTCTCATAGTCTCCAGTGTTTTGATATTCTTGTGCATCTGAAGTTCACAGCCTGAAGTTAGAGCAAAACAAGACCCTGTTAATGTGCAGAAGGGGTAAAAACTGGATGGGACAGGGCCACAGAACTTCTCGTCTGGTTGTGTATTACTAGTGAGAAGAGAAATGTGTGCTGAGGTTTCATTTAACAAAACAAATTTGAGCTGATTATGAAATGTAAACTAAACCCAGATCTGACATTTGCAGTTGTCAATGTGTCTTAATACTGTAATGCTTCCATGGCAGTTATTACATATACCAGTGTTGGATGAGATGTGTACTTGTGTAGATCTGTCATGTTTGTAGCCTCACAAATAATTCATAGAATATATTCTCGAGTAATTTGTGATTGAGTAATGGCCAAAGGATTTGTATGTTGTTGCAGTAAATTCCTTACCTTTGTATTTGTTATGTGTATTTCTGCTTGTTTTAAAATATTCTGTGTCTGCTTCTGTGTTTATCTGTGGACTTACATGAATTATGCCATTATGCTTTACTCTCTCATTTTAAAGGAAAATAGTTTTTGTTTCAACTTGAGCATCACTATCAGTATGATGACTGGACTGTGGTTAAAGTAGCAATGCCTTGGAAAGCAGGGAGGAAATGTTAGCAGGTTAATTACATTACTCTAAATTTAAACCTGTGCTAGGCTGTGATAGCAGCTGATGAATTTGGAAGTGAAATGCTGTCTTGGAAATTGCTGTAGAAAAAAAAGAAAATACTGAAAATAATTGATTTTTTGTTTGTTTGTTTTTGTGCTTCCGTTTCTATTTTTTATGGTAAAATTGGGCATTATTAAACCAAGGCTTAAAACTGCTGAATGTTGTGATCATGTGTGAAAATGGGACATGGCAAACACCTTTCTTCTGAATTAATATCTTAAAGATATGCCATGAAATCAGATGAATTAGTCAGCATTTATTGAGAGCAGCAATGTCTCATGTGATGCTAGTTTATATACCTGGAAGGAAGTGCTACTTCAGTGCTTTTAAGGTTTTGACTTATGTTTAGCCACACATACCAACTTGATTGATATATGCAACTTTTTACTGTGGGCTCTTAGAGTAATGGTGTTAATAGCACAGTTCCTGGAGTAAAGGTATCTTCTGAGTCCTACTTTCCTAGGTGAGGTGCAAACAGTGTTTTACAAAATATGTCTGGAGACTGACTTCTTTTCTTTTCATCGTAGAGCTAATTAAAAATTGGAGGTTTTTCTTTACTTAATGGAGGTTACTGCTTTCAAAGTCGTAAGGACAACTTGGGGAGTGCAGTGTCCCAGTATTCATTTGTATTCAGTTCCATAATTCCTGTCAACATTGACACAACCATTGGTTTGCTGACCATATTTTGTCAAGTGCTTCCTAATTTTTCCTGTATCTTAACGACTTTTGGAATCTGTCAAAAAAAGAGGTAAAATCTCATCTGAGGCCCAAGCTCGAGTCAAAGATTACTTTTGTGGAATTGTATTTTTCGCAGAAACTGAGTGTTACCATTAGTCATGTCTTATTTTTTACTGGGACAGTACTGTGCCATTGCAAACTCTTTTCCTAGCTCTCAAGCAAAAGATAGCCCTAAGCTGTTGGAGAATTCATCAGCTGGCATACTGCTCAGAAAGACTGAGCGCTAAACATGGTTGTTTCAAATGGATTTTGAGCACTAAAATTACTAAATTATTTTCCAGAAAGCTGCAATTACAGTCTGTACCCTGCGACTACGTAGGAATGTGGTAGAAGTGTTCCTTTTTCTGTTTAGTGATGACACAGACTCTGTGTGGGGAGCTCCTACAGTAAAGTTTTCGTGTTTTGATTGCCAAACTCTGTGGTCTCAACAGAAGCATCTCCCAGACATAGTATAATATTATGCATCATGTTTTCGTGCTTCAGGGTCCTCTTGTGCTGCAGCCCATATGTGCTGTAATGGCAATACTTTTTATAGATTTGAGTGACTGAAAGTTAAAAAGAAGTCATCTGCAGCATGTACCTCCTGTGTTACAGCTATTGAGGATTTCAGAAAAGAATGATGTGGCTCTTGCTTTTTTTGTTGTTTCATCTTTGATTGTGGGGATGGAATTGGGAATGAAGTTAGCAGAGTGTCAAGAGTGCAAGTATAGAAGCAGTTTTGAAAGATCATTTGGAAAGATAAACATTTATTTGGGAAAAGGTAATTGTACTCAGACAAATACACATTAAAATACTTGGACAAATTCTCATTGCTTGCAGTGAATGCTTCAATGTTTTGTAGTCTTTATAGACCAGTTGTCTCTCAGCTGTAACTAGTTGCCTCATTTTTTAACATCGTTTTAACTCCCCAGAACTGCTTTCTCTCTGTGTGTAGATCCGGGGAAACTCAAAAATGAAGCATTTGGCTTATTTCTGAGCTTCCTTGAAGGTATGAGGTAATTGCAACTTCATACTTCAGGATGTAAAGGTAAAAATTTCTTGTGTTGATCTGTTCTGCAGTTTTAGATCAGTTGAGTGTCGATAATGCGGGAGGTGTGACCTTGAAGCGTACGGTGAAGGTCATGTGCTGTGCAGTGTGGTGGTGAGAGGCTGCTGAACGTGTCCCACACGCCTCCTGAGTTGAAAGAGGGATTATGAGGTAGCCACGTGCCCTCTGCAGCAGGAGTTGATGCTGGAAGTGCCAGCTGCAGCAAGTGTAATTTGTGTAGCTGATTGCTGCTGCTCTGTGTCACACAGCTGCTGGTAGGGAACAGTCCAGGTACTGAATACAGAGACGTTTGCTGGCAGCCGTTCTTTGTTGGCTTGCCAGCAAAGGGGGAATTACCCAACCTATTTTTCTTTTGCAAAAAATAATGAAAAAAATGTGACGACTTATTTTGATCTTATATTTGTGTGTGTATCCAGAACTGAGCAATGTATATGAAAAGGGAAGGCTTTTCTACTAGGAATTGCTTTGTTGATCTTCCCTGTTTTTCTTTCTTACTATTCTTGTTCATGTCCTCGCTTTTAGATATGTATGCTAAATCAAAAATTGAGAGGTGTGTGTGAAACATTGCTGATTATTTCTTTTTGTTAACCCCCCCCAAAAAAAACTCCCAAACTCTTGTATTATAATAAGGGTTCACTACTGGAAACTTGTGTTTTAGTAATATGCCTCTTCATGTTTTTTTTTAAGTGCCTGTCCTATTTTAAAACTCTCCTTTAGTCTAATGCTTGCAGAATGAAGCTAGAAACAAATGAAGTGCTGTAGCAATATATGTATCTGTAGCCTAAATGGTACCTGTTAAATCCTGGAATTGTGTTTTTATATAACCTAGCAGCCCACCACTGAACAGTGTGGGTCAGTGGTACCACTGAGATCCTGACATTTTCTTCTGTTTTCCCAAGTGCCTTCTGTGTGACGTTACTGTAGCCTCATGGTCAGTGTGACTACAGTAGTTCTGAAGGTTGACACCTGTCCCATATGTCACCAGGCTTTTGGTTGCCTGCCCTTTTTTGACCTAGCAGTTAGTTTCGCCCTTTTGGAATACACCTGCAAACAGAATAGGTGAAACATCTTGAAGCTGTTCCACATAGTGGAAGTGTGAACTTAAACCAGCTATAAAACCCTAAACTTTGTAACAACCTCGTATTTACAACAGCTTTATTATGTGGTAGATTAACTTAAACTCACAGGAACAGGTGGAAATGAGAAGCTCTTAATAGAACCAGTTAACATTTGTCTGCTAGGACAAGATTGCAGGGATGGGTCACAAGAGAAGGGTAGAATGGGCAGAGTTTTAGTTTTGTGGCTCTTTCTTTTGGTCTGCACTGCATGTATTTTGAGGGCAGTGGACTCTCTGAAAAATATCTGCAGCTTAGTGCTTGAAAAATTATTTTTAAAGCTAAATTCAGTTCAGTAAGTTACGAAGCTTTTGTCTTTCTGTTTCTATTGCATCTTACAGAGTGATAGCTTTGTAACTTGATACAAAACCCCTAAGATTTATTTGCAAGCACATAAGTTAAAACCAAGAAGTGCAATATTGATCTTTATGACAGGAAACATGTACAAATATAATAACTATTTTTTACTTTCTTTACAGAAACCATAGCCCATTAATGAGTTTTGGAGCCAGTTTTGTCAGTTTTTTGGTGAGTTTTTTGAGAGCACAGAGTGTGCATCTCTTGTGATTAATGTTTGTATGTTCATGCATGTGTTCATAACATTGGATGCTCTAATTTTTTTCTTTTTATGAGACTTAACTTTTTTCAACTTTTTATATTAAAGGTACCTAGAGAGCAAGTTATTATGTTCTGAAAAAAGTTGGTTACTCGTGTGGTCTAAATTGAAAGTAAAGGTTCTGTGATTGAGGTTCTCAAATGTATGAAATATTTATGTGTTCCATTAACAGAGCTATAATAAAATCTTCCCTTAAATGAGCAACATTATTATTTAGCTAATTAAAATAAAACTCATAAGTGCCTGTTCTCCTGGTAACTTTTGCTGTTGAAAATTCCTTCGTCATAGAATCATAGAATTTCAGGGTTGGAATGGACCTTACAGATCATCCATTCTGCCAGATGAAAGTTATTAATCTGTTCACATTGCTCCTTTCGGGATATATGAGAACTGAGCGTGGTGACTGACTAAAAAGTCATAGTGAACAAGTTAGGTCTGTTAAATACTTTTTTTAAAAAAAAAAAAAAATCTTAAAAATGCTAATATCTTGTATAAAAACTGAGCAAGTGTATTGGAAAATGTTTGAATCTTGTTTTTTTAGACTGCCCTTATTCTGACTTTACTGCTTAATCTCAGATCTCACCAGAAATTATCTATGTTAATACCCTTTTTAAAGATGGATTTTATTATAGTAAGTCAGAAATATGTGATTTGTAAATTAAATAAATTTGAATTCTCTCTGGTGCCTGTATGCTATGCAATATGGAAAAAGACACTGGTTAGGAAGCCTCCTGAGGCATATCCTTCCTTTTAACTCAGTGGAGGGGAGA